GATTCCATTTCTAGTGTGCTCAGTGATCTTTTTATAAGCATGTTGATTATTTTTCTGGTTGTACAGAATTAAAATTCTACCAGCTATTTCCAAAATGAATTGCACATATAGTTGCATAGACTGTATATTTATTGTTTTTCTGTAGTGGTGGCTAAAGTAGAACTTATTTTTAATGGGTTGAAGATGAAGTTGTTGCATCCTTTTGTCACTGGAATCTCTCCCTGGCTTCCACTTAGCTTTCTGGTCCTTGCATTTTCCACCAAATTCAGAAGAGATGTGTAGATGATGCTGTAGAAGACTGGCCGAGTTATTTACAGAATAAATTGTGGCATTTCCAAAGGATGAGAATAGGAAATGGCCAAACTGTCAATATATAGTAGAGCATCTTTCAATGAATGGGTAGATGGAAAAGGACAATGGATATGGTCAGGGAGACCATGGTGTCTATTTAAATTTTAAGCAGGTTTTATATTTATGAAGTCCCTGCAACAGACAGATTTCCTGAGTCATATTTTAATGTCAAAGTGATTGACAGATAAATTTGATTTGACTCCTGAGTGTCAGGGTGACAATTTGGGAAGGTGTTTTCTGGATGATATCAGAGAAAGTTGAGAACTCTTAAAATCAATATTGAGTAGTTACTAGAGAGTGACCCTCCTGGACTCTCACGATGTCCTATCCTCTCCATTTGCCAGAGATAGGACTAAAGTTCTATCGCCCTGACTAGTAATTAGCATTGAGCCTATATATTTGAATTCCAGTGTATCACATTAGATTAATATCCCCATACAGCTCCTGCCAGTGTTCCTAGTTCCTGTTGCCATGCTTTTCCATCATGAAGATGATGGACTTTTATTCCTCTGGAGCCGTAAACATAGAATAAGCTCTTCCTTCAGTGACATGTCTTTGTCAAAGTGTTTTACTACCACAGTAGAAAAATAACAAGCAGATAGAAACTTCAAACTCCAGCGAGTGCATGTTTAAAATATTTTGAATGTTCTCGGTCTGATAAGTTATTGTTTATGAAGTGGGCATCTAACAAAATGTACAAAATTGTTATTTTACAAAGGAATTTTACTGGATTGCTGCACACCCAAGAATATGTAGACAACACTAATTGACTTTGATAAGTTAAAAAATGAGGACCCAAGTTGGCTGGGTATAGAATTGGAATTAGTTCTGGGAAGACTGGGCAAAGGAAATGAATATGCTCAAAATGCAGTATAACAATGTATGAAATTCACAAATAATAAATAGTGTTTTGTTTTTATAAAATCTTTTAATTTTTATTTTTGAGATTCTAATTTAATTACCTTTTTTTCCTTTTCCTTTTCTCCCTCAAACCTTCCCATGTATCCTACTTTCTTTCAAATTCATGGTCTATTTTTTAAAGAATTGCTATTGCATACAAGTATACACACACACACACACACACACATACATACATTTTCCTAAATATAACCTGTTCAGCCCATATACTGTTTCCTGTATGTATTTTTTCAAGAAGGATCATTTGGTATTAAATAACCATTCAAGAATTGAAAGACTGATATGTATGAGTTATATGGGAATCTATTGAAATACTCAACTTTTCAATATTATTGACTACTAATATCTCCTACATATAATAGCACTAGAAATTTCAAAACATAGACATTTACTAAAAGAAAAGTTAAAAAATTCTATTAAGTAAAATCATGGACTCAAAACTTTTACTCTAAAAGATATAATGTCCTTTGCTCAAACTAGTAGTATTCAGTAGTTCTGAAGTCAAAAATAATCTTAATGGTTTAGTTAAGTTTATTATCATCTGTCCGTTGGAGAATTTAGTAGCCTTTAAAGAGCTGCACTTTCACAGTTTTGAGCCAAAACTTTTGAGGATGAACTCTGAGAAAAGGTCCTCAGAGGATGCTGTAGCTACAAAGACCTAGAAGTTCTGACTTACTGTGATCTCAGAAACCTTCAGAAAACATGGACGTCTTCCTGGTGGCTGCTGGGTTAAAAAACAGAAGTACACAGAACTACTTGGGGAGTGCTGGTGAGGGGTGATGTGGGAAGGAGCAATTGCTTCAGAGTTGAGCTGAGTTTAAATGTTGTGACCGAGAAAGGTCAGTCTTGACAAGAGCAGTGACGGCGGGCTATGCCAACTCAGATGCCAAGCCACAGAGTCACTCCAACTGGTGGATTCCATTTGCTCTTAATTATGAGACTACCAAAGGGTCTTTTGTTTCATGTAAATATGAGTGGCGAACCAAATAAGCTCTAACAGGTGCAAAAGCTTGTTTTGCCCTGGGTTAAAAGTACCTTTACCAAGATCTGGCTGGCCAGTCTAGGTTGGTGGAAAGAGGCAGCTTTTGTTTTCCATATGGGCGACAGGGTGGTTCTTAGCAGAACTGTATCGGCAAAGTTAGATACTGTCGTTACTGTAGCATAACATTTTTTTTTTTATTTCAAAGCGATTATTAAACTGGTGACTGATTGTTGCATTGCTGGATCTGAAGTCATTTCAATGCTTGGCATTTGTGCACACTCTTGCCAAAGTGTGTAGCTTCAGTCCAAACAGCTTTGGTGGCTTTCTGCCATTTCAACCTCTCCCTAGAGACCACGGGTCCAGCTGTTTCAGTAAGCTGTGTTGTGGAGCTAATTCTGAAGGGGGATAATGAAATTCCAGTATGTACCACTGTGTCAGTAAATCAAAAATTTTGATTGAAGGAACCAGCTTTTTCCCCTGGGTAACTAGAATGAGGAGTTAATATGCTAATTTGAGTTTGAATTCAGCTCCTTTGCTCTTCCGATTTTGTATTAATTCGCCCGTTTATGCCTGTGCACATGTCAATCTGGAAATCTGCTCTTGTTATGGACAGCCAGCTGCCTGAGGTGCAGAGGCAGAGCCACAGATTAGGTGTTCCCTAGGGGGGCTTTTTAGTCAGGGCTCTGAACACACAGCTTATCGCTCCTAAACTTGGTTCCCCCTAGAGAAACTTTAAAAGAGGCTTTGTTTTTGCCAAGAATTTCTTTTTGGATGTCAGCTTAATTAAAAATGATCCAAAGAAAGAAAAATGAGTTTTTTTTTTTGTGTGTGTGTGTGTGTGTTCTCTGTAAGTCCTGTTTTCCTACCCTTATTTTGTGAGATTTGTTTTAATTGAAACTAGTTTCTCAGAAGCAAATAAAATAACTATTAAGTGTGAAGGGAAAAATAATTGCAGTGCCTGGACATTCCAAGGTAAATTCTCCCTTCCTGTTTCTAGATTATATTAAAGAAATTTTAATCAGCTACAAAGGTTTCCAGAGATTGAAAGCAAACAGAGCTTGAAAGCAAAAAAGATATTAGTGTCTTATAAAATATTGAAATTTCATATAATTCAAAATACTATTAGCAGTGTACTGTATGGCAGGTATTGATTTTAACTGAGTCTACAAAGGTGTAATATTCCTTTGTAATCTTCCCTTCAAAGATCTCACCTGCTGAGCAGTCACATATAAACATGGCACGATTATTGCTTCTTAATATATGTTCATAGATAGTTTAATTGCTCTACTAAATAAGTATAGATAGAATAGAAATTTACAGAGGAAACACTTGAACCAAACCTGAAGATCCTTTCATGGAGCAGGTGATGAAAAATGAGTACATGTGATTTTGGAAATTCACGATGAAAGACACAAACAAGCAGAGAAAACAGTGTCACACAAGGGACACTGGTGTTCGGTGACACTACAAAAACTCTATTAAGACTGAATGTAAAGTTTACGGTAAATTCCTGACAGATGAGAATGGATAGTAATCAAATGTCAAATCAATGAATTGTTTCTAAGTATGCGATAGTTCCTACTTGTGACAGATACCATGCTAAGATCTGTTACCCACACATGCTTTCTTGAAAAAAGTTTCACAGCCTCAGACAAGATATTATTGTATTACGGGGCACAATGATGTCATGCCCACAGCAGATACTGCTCAGATATTCTGAAATGGTCTTTTTCTTCTTGCGCTCTCTGCCTTTGTTAATTTCTTAGAGGTTTTTCACATCCTTCAATGTCACATGTACCAAGGGGCCTTCTCCGAATATGTAGTTGAGATTACGTCCCCATTATCCCCACTGACATGCCATCCTGTTCATTTTCTCTGCAGCAGTTACATTAAATGCAATTAACTCCCTCTGCAATTATTTGTTTAGCATTCATCATCCATTTGCATGTTGACATCCCATTGAAAGGGAAGGAAGTTGTCTTGCCAAAGATAATCTTCAGCTTTTGACATATGTTCTCGGTACATTCCTGTGTAAATACAGGCTAGGTAGGGAATAAAAGAGCAACAAAAATCTTAGTTTGAAGGAGCTTAAAGAATGAATAAAGTTAAGAAATGCAAGAGAGAGAATGATGTAGCGAGAATGATGTCTGGTTCAAATTCTATATTTTTAGCTTGCTAATTAATAAGCACTATGAATAAATAATAAGGTAGGGTTTGAATCATCTTGGAATAAATAACTGGATCACAGCTAGCTAAATTAAGTTTTGTTTCCTTTGGAAAGATGTGATATCATTATGGTCTCATTTTGATTATTTTTAAAACATTTAGTATGGACTCTTTGTAAAGTCTTAACGCATGAAGTTTATAGTCATTGATCTTTGTTTTAGGTTCAGGAGACTTTCATTTTTGTCTTGATAATTCTGACATTCATCCAATATCAAAAACAGACTTCTTTAACATATAGCATTTGTGGTGTGTNGAGAGAGAGAGAGAGAGAGAGAGAGATCTAATTTCGGGACATTCTTTGCTGTCGGATCTATTTTTATACTGCTTATGCTTGGATGTGCAATAAAATTATGGATCAAAAAAGCAAATCTATAATTATTTTTGAAGTTTAATCTAAGTATATAAACCTTTATGACAGCAAAAAGGTGATTTCTACACATAATTTATAAGCTAATCTGTCGTGGAATTATCTCTCAACCTATTCCATTGATTTAAATTGAAGGTATTATCTGCTTCTTTCCAGTTTCACCCAGAGAAAAGGAAAAAGGAAAAGAAAAAATGAAAGAAGGAGAAAAACCCGAGAAGAAAGGTATGTAGCTGTTCTTTTTTACTACCTTAACATTTAAGATTTTTTTCCCTTGGCATTTCTCTTACTTACATTTAGACCTTAGAGAATATTTTTTCTTCTAATATTTTATTACATTTATTTTCATGGACTAGAACCTAGGTGGAATTTCAAGACTAGGGGCAATAAAGTATGTTAGTCTTAGGAACTATTTCAGCCTTTCATTGCGTAGCTGTGAGCTTGTTAGAGAATATTACTTAAGAGCATACTGGTCAGTTCTACAGGGGAAAGTTAATTCTTGTTATTTTGATTCAATTGCCTATTATATTACCATATTTGTTTGTTATTGCTTATTTATTGAGAAAGGATAGGTAAGCCAACTTTCTATTTGAATCATAAAGATGCCCCATGGAAACCACCCCACACTACTCTGAGTTTACACTTTCCATCTCACCCCATGTACTGACATAGCCACTTGTGTGAAGCTCTAAAAGCTTCATGAACAATATGTACACATTTATATAATTAACATTTAATGCTGTATTATAATATTAGTAGTTTATATTATTGTTCCCCTATAAAATCTAGCATGTCTTCTATTCTGACTACCCAAAATTCAAAAATACATCCTAGAAAATTCTCCACACCTGCACATATTTTCTTCTTTTTACAAAGCTTCATAGTATTTAAAAGATACTATCTTATGTCATATAGTTTATTTTTATTTGTAGAATCAACCTTAACATAATTTTAATAATATAGATTTCTTCCTGTGTGACAGTTCATATTTCTTGCCCATTCATCCCCTAATGTGTGTGTGTGTGTTTTTGTGTGTGTGTGTAGATTCATTTTCCTATAGTATTTTTAATTTGGGATTTTCATTGGGACCTTTATTTGAGATTAATTTTGTAGTAATACTTTCCTTAAGTATTTTTTGATGTTTCATGTGTTTACATTTTTCGTTGATCCACCCCACTCTGCATCGTTGCTTTCTGTGAAGGAAGATAACGGTCTGACTTTTGTTATTGGTTGACTGCTTCACATTTGTATCTGCAGTATCAGAGCCACCCAACTCTTGTGGTTAGTGAAATACTGCAGCTTAGATAGAAATATGTAGAATGGATGTGATATGAACCAGAGCAGAAGAGACATGTTTCAATATTACTTATTACATAATCACACTTGAATATTAGAATTGAATAGTTACTCCTTTATTAATATTTACTTAGCGGCAATTCCCTTGAATTTTAAAGCACCTACCTTCTTTGTCTGTCTCAGTCATGTTTGCTCATTTCTCATCTACTGGTGAGATACCGAATTATGAACATAAGATTCTATATCCTGACAGAAATCAAATACTTTTGTGTTTCTTATTAATTTTCAGGATTCAATAGTGCTAAATGTTTTCTTTAAATAATTAAAAAGTTGCCCTCAAATTATAAATGTATAAAATTTACTCAAATTGAAAAATCAAAGATAAAATACCATCTGCAAGTATTCCTCTGTTTCCTATATGCCAGTTAAAGATGTTTATGTTTTTGGCTACATTATATGGAAATGTTGGCATCTTCCTCAAATCAACTGTTTATTTGAAATAGAAGACTGTGCTGCAAATGCTACTGGACTTCTCAGGTTATTTTAACTGCAACGCTTAGACCTTAGGTTTTTTAGTACATACAGAACAAAGACATGTTATATAAATTAATATTGATGAATTATGTTATTAAATACAAAAGGGAAGATATATTTCAGGTATCATATAGGACATTATTAAAATAAAATCATTATTATTTTAATAATCATTTTAAATTATCTTATACAGTACTGTTGATTCTCAGAGATGAATATTACTCATTAGGGATATGATTGGCTTGTGAAAATGACATTGATGTACAGCAATTGGTAAGCAGGCCCTAGGGAGGCTCAGCATCTTTGCAATGTTTAAAGCAGCCCCTTATATTGGGAATGACTCTTTCCTCAGTGCCAGTTTTGCTCCTGTTGAGGAACACTTTGGTTAATCAGTCTTCAGTCATGCTGATATCTCTTGTTATTAATGCTAAAACTAATTATTTTCACAATGTGTATATTGTATTTGTTATATAATTGTTCTTTTGTGGGGGTTCTCTCCTGAAAACATTATATATTTTGAGTAGAAACCTGTAAAAAGAATGATATCAGATCTAGCTTTCAACATACTATTTGTTTGTATTGACCAGGGTCTCACTATTAGGCCTGCCTGTTCTGGAATGCACAGTGTAGAGCAAGCTAGTCTCGAACTCATGGTGTTCTGCCTACCTTTGGCTCTTGAACACTTATTAATAGAGTTTGTCACTATAATTAACTACTCTCTAATTCATAAAGTCAAATTTTATAATGTATTGTCTGCGACTATTACCCACTGGTTACTATATTCCTAAGATGGGTTCCTCAGTATGATAAGCCCCCAGTTATTCTATGATTTGGATGCCTATAAACCCCTGTAGTCAGAAGAAAATTGACTTTGAAATCTATTAAAAGTATAAAGAATTTGTAATTTTCTAATGTTAATTTTCTGTTTAAGCAACCCACAAGGAGAAACTTGAGAAAAAAGAAAAAGAGAGAAAGACAATGGCAAAAGGTAACTTTTACCTTTATAATTTCATTCTTTAAGTCTTTTGACGATGAGGGTGTACAATTTGACTGAAACATGAATGTTTGTAGTCCTTTTCCAATTCATTTAAGTACAGTGATTTAAAATGGAATGTCTAAAGAATAATAAAACCGAATATACCAAAAAGATAGTCTCAAAAGATGGAAGGAAAATAATATGTTATCACATGTGATTGGCAGAATTTTGGTCTTTATGATCTGTATCCCATGGTGTCATTCTCATTGCACTTTTGCAGAGGTAGTCAAGTTTCATCTAAAACTAGAAAAATGACCCCATGTAACCACTTGCACACAATAAACAGCTGCAATGTATTTAAAATCAGAGAATTTTTACAGAATGCAAAGCCAGTTTTGAAGTATGGTCTTAGCCTCCTTGGCTACCATGAAAATTATGGGGGCTACAGGAGAACCATAAACAACAGCAGAAAGCAAACTGCATTCATGTTGAATAAGCATGGAAGCCAGTTTTTCCTATCGAAACTCCACTAAAGAGAACAATAGACTGGTGACTTCATTTTGGGATTTTGAATCCTGTGAGGAAACAATAAACACAAAAAGCACTGTGATAATATGCTTCAAGTTAAAAAAAAATTTTGCTTATTTTGGAAATTTAATTGAGCTGTATTTTTCTCTACCCTAAGTTGGGCTACCAGATGTTTTAAGTACTTAAAAAATATGCATTTTAACTAATAATGCAATTGCAACTCCTCCATGTAAATGTTTTCCTTATAAGTTTAAAATGTGCTTGCTATAAATAATATACTGGATCAATCTTATTCCAGCACCATCAAGTAACTGACTAGTTATGTATAGGAAATAATGTATCCCCATCAAAAAATGTTTATATTATTTAAGAATATTTGGATATACAGAAAATATTCTAAAGCCAAACTTTGTAATAATTTATTGTTCTTTTAATAAGATACAGACATATCTTTTGCACATATGATAGATAGATGTAGACAAATCATATAAATTTTACACATATCCTCACATGTGTTTTCATTTTATTTAAGCTATATATGTAGGTTATATTAGGACTAGAAAATTCATACATAATCTTTCTATGCTATGTGGAAAATACGATATTTTCTAGGGAAATAGGAGGCTAAAAAGGCATAAACAGGTGAATTTGAAATAGAAATAAAAGTGAACTTCTTTAGAATGCTGTGGAAGGTGTTGAAACTAATAACTTCTTCTGGCCCTTTCCTAGGACACGGTGTGTTTTTTGGTCTGTTTAAACTACAGTCTATCAAGGGCAGGAATTTTCCAGACCATCTTAGTAATTCTTCCTGAAAGAACATGCACAATTCATTGTCACCCGGTGCCTCATGGAGCTAGTAACTCCTCTATGCATGGTGCCTATATTGAACAGATATATACATTCATGTATATTTTGCTTGCTAGTACTCTTTTCTAGGACATTTAAGGTTTCACAAACCCTTAGAAATATTGTCTGTAACTTAGGTTAGTAGGAGTGCATATCTGTTTCTCTACTGTCAGGCTTTGCAATCCCAGTCTTTAGCAATATCTACCTCTCAGCTATTCTCTGGTTGGTTTCATTATTCTAATTTTATTATTCGATATCTTGTAGGTAATTTTTTCATTTGTAGCCCTTGCATTTATCTTCTGGAAAAAAAATTGTATTAGAATTAATTTTTTGAGTAAGGATGAAGATTTTATAGTTAAGGAGCAAAGTGATCACATTCTTTTAAAAGGAAATTTTTCAACTGGGTGCTTTAGGGTGAACATTTTTCTCACTGAGGATGTTCAGGGCACAACCTCTGCATTTGACAAATGATTCCTTGTGGACCACTTATGCTTTTGATTACAAAGCCCAACACAAACAAGCAATAACAACAGTGGTAAGAAAAATCCAAATCAGTCTTTTCAGGTGCAAATTAAGAGAGACTCATATTGCCGATGACTTGCATGTCTAATACAGCATATTTATTGACTTTATAGGACGCGGGTAACTGTCCACAGTATTTGCACCAAGGACACTCAATTTCCATTGATTTTCTTGCTTGTCTTTTAAAATGGTACTTGAGGAAATACCATAGTTGAAGAATAACTTTCTTAACTCTTTGCAGAGGACAAGAAAGTTAAGACTAAGGAAAAGACCGAAGAAAAGACGAAGAAGGAAATGAAAGTTGGGAAACAAGAGAAAGGGAAGCCATCAGCTGCCAAAGTAAAAGAAGCTCCTCCGAAATCCCCACCAAAGGTCAGGGAGAGGGATGACAAAGAGACAGCAGCTGTGCCTGGGCATGAACAGAAAGGTAAACATTCCGAGGAGGCCACAGCTGAAGGTTCTAAGAGAATCTTGGGCAAGAAGCAGATGCAGTCAAATTAAAAGCTGAAAAAGAATAAAATTAAACCTCATATGGGGTAAAAAGACAGAGCCAAGCTGATATGCCTGACACGAAGCAAAGCAAATTGGGTATTAACATATTAATAAATACATGAAAATGTGTTCAAATAGCTAGATGCATCTTCAAGTATTTGAAAGGGTGTTGAGTGAGCACCTGTAGTTATTTAAGTGCGAGGAAGAGAGAAGGCATATTGAGGATTTCAATCAGGAGTTGGAATAACAATTGAACAATTGTATGTGTCAGACTCTGGGGAAAGGTGGTTTTAAAAATTGACAGCCAACCTCAAGGAGTTGCTCAAGAAGTCAATGTACAAATCATACAGATGAAAAAATGTCATAAAAACCTTATTTTTATTTTTTGGTTTTGGTTTTTCAAGACAGGTTTTCTTTGTGTAATAGCTCTAACTGTCCTGGAACTAGCTCTGGTAGATTAGGCTGGCCTTGAACTCAAAGAAATCCGCTTGCCTTTTGTCCTGAGTGCTGGGATTAAAGGCATGTGCCACCACTACCTGGCTGAAAACACTACTTTTTGATATTTCTGCAATGATACCATTCAGGATATGTGCATTAAATCAATGATCCATTTAATTGTTGCAGAAATCTATTGTTAGAAATGGAAGTGTCAGGTGCATTTTCAGTCCTCTTAGAAAATCTCTAGGAAGCTTTTCATAGGACAGGTGTGCTCTTCTTCAAGTAAAACACATCTATTGACTTCCCAGAAACATCCCAATTAAATAGAGAAGCCATTCTTAACAGAAAGTGCAGTGTGAATATAAAATTGTTATTAAGGGCCTCTTTGTTTCACAATTAGAGTCCTTCTTAGTTCTCCATCCCAAATTCATTCCTCAGTCCAGGTTGCCACACATCCATACTTCCCTATTCAGAACACAGGGTCTGCTCAGTGGGAACAATTTCTGAGAATGATCTGTCTTTGCTTATGAATGTTAGAAAATAAACTTCCTTTGCTCCAGTAGCAATTGAATAATTTTATTAAAAGACTAAAGTGAACTGATTTGTATCTATACTACTTTACTGTTACTTTTAACCTTTATTATTACGAAGGCTATTTGGTCTGTAGAACTAGAAACACTTTTTTTCTTATTATAAGGTACACAATATGAATTACAAAGTCTGTATTTTCATCTTATCTTACCAACTTCACACTTTTTATTAACTTTAATACAGAAATAGTGAATGTAAACTTAGATTTATATTACAAGAGACATATATATATATAATATTTTTTTCAAAGGAAACAAGAAAAGAAAAGAGGAGTAGTGAGTTACTTTTCTAAGTTTTTCTTTTAGTGGTTCATAAACTTTAGATAGTGTGAACCTATTGTTCTTGAGATGATTATAGGATCTTGAAAATTGAAAATCTAAAATGTTACCTTTGTAAAAAATGCCATGTATGAATGTGTGTGCTATAAAAGAATGCAATAAAAATTAAATGGGTATTTTACTGTAGTAAAAATCAGGAAATTTAATCTTTTGGTTCACTCAACAAACAGTTAGATACTTTGCATTCCAAATTTCCCTTTAAGAGAAGTAAAGAATAAGAAGAAACCAATTAAAACATATCAATATGTTTTAGTCTATAATTTCATTTTATAAAACATATGCCACTTAGACTGAATATCAAAATACTTCCTTAGTAACTAGGCACTAATGCACGGTTTGAGAGGTTTACTTTTAGTGTCTCCCAGGGTTGGGGAACCATAGTTCAATGACAACTGATTGCACCAAGATAATTTCAAAGGGTGTTTTTCAGGTCATAAACATTATATTTTGTCATATCGTTAATACACTTCTTAAAGATATAAATCTATCCCAATTTGATTTAATGTACTCTTTTTGTGTTTATGTAAATAGCTAGTTATCCATTAAAATAAATTCCAAATATCACTTCCAGTCAAAAAAAAGAGGCATCAAAAGAATTCTATCCCTAAGTAAACAGTAGGTTAAGGCATGTCCCCTACTGAGAACTGCTTCTACCAGTTAAATAATTGTATGAGTAGGTAGAATATAAAAAAACTTAACTTAGCATGGCTGCTTAAAGACAAGGCTATTTTTTCCTTCCTTCTTTTCTTCGTCCCTCCCTCGTTTAATCCCTCCCTCCCTCCCTCCTTCCATCCTTCCCTCCTTCCCTCCCTCCATTACTTCCTTCCTTTATAACTAATCTGATATTTAAGAGCATTTGTTTTTAAAATGCTGGTCACATGGTAGGAATAGTTTAAACAAAAGGAAGAAAAGGCATTTTTTGAAAAAGAAGTAGCTTTGATTTTTAAATTCATAAATTTAAAATTGAGTTATTCTTTTCTGGACAAAATTAGGTTTATTTGCTTAGTTGAACTATGTCTAACAAGAGTGGATATGTATGTATGTACATATATATATAGTAATTTGAAATTTTTATTTTTAAATGAATGCTGTGCATATAAGTCTATGTGTGGGTTTGTGCTGAAAAATACAGGTGCCTCCAAGGCCAGAAGAGGGCATCAAATTCCCAGGAACTGGTTCTAGAAGATGAATTCGTCTCTTCTCCAAGAGCAGGAAGCACTCTTAATGATTGGATGGGTTCTCCAGTTCCTCACCCAGATTTTTTTTTAATACCTTTAAACACCCAATGCTCTTGGTTCTTTTGGAAACAGGCTTTTCTTGGATAGACATTTGTCAGTAAAATTTGCTTATAGCGTAAAAGTATTGAAAAACACCACATTTGGTTACTTTCAACATTTACTTTTGCAGTATATAAACAAGGTACATATACTTAAAGCATTGAAAATACTTGCCATAAAGTTACCCATCATATAATTTTTTTTTAATAGAACATCTCATATTCACTCAAGGTGAGGTGACAAACTTGACATTTCTCCCTGGTTTCTGCTGCTTTCTGCCAAGTCTGTGAGGAAATAAAAATCTCACAGCTGTTATATACTATGCTCATTCTTTTGTTATTTTCGTTATTTTTTTCTAACAAAGATTCAAGGACCTGTGGCTGCCAGAGAAAGTATAACTAATGAGAACCCGCCATAGAGCAGCAGACCACAAGCACCTTATCCTCATTAGAGGTTGTTCTTTGAAAGCCTTTTTTTTTTTCTTTCTGATTCTCTGTGCCCAGACTGCGTTTTCTTTTTACTGGTACTCCTCAGGGACCATCCTCTGGGCATCAGCACCTGAGTGTCATGGCCAATGCTCCCTGGGGAGTCACAAGGCAGGAATGGACAACATAAAATTAATTCTAGTAGAATGTTATTTTTTTTGCAAAACATCTTCAAAGTGACCAAATAGAAAATTACCTTACAGAAGTTACTGCCCCATAACTATAAATGCCAGACAGGCAGGATACTTCAGACTTTTTCCCTCCCTCCCTCCCTCCCTCCCTCCTTCCCTCCCTCCCTCCCTCTTTCCCTCTCTCCCTCCTTCCCTCCCTCCCTCTCCTCTCCCTCTCTCTCTTTCTTTCTCTGTCTCTCTTTCTTTTTAAAACAATCTTATTTTACATACCAATCCCAGTTCCCTCTCTCTCCTGTTCTCCCATTTACCCCACCTACTCCTCACCCCACTCCCATCTTCTCCTCAGAGAAGATGAGACCTCCCATGGGAAGTCAACAAGTCTGTCATATCACTTGAGGCAGGACCAAGGCACTTCCTCCCTCTATCTAGGCTGAGCAAGGTATCCCTCTGTAGAGAATTGGCTCCAAAGAGCCAGGTCATGAACTAGGGGTAAATACTGGTTCCACTTCTAGTGGCCCCACAAACTAGGAGTCATAAGCATAATAAATATAAGTAGTTTATACCACGTTGAAGATTTCATTGCACTGTAAACAATCTATTCTTAATAAAAACTAGAGGGTGCTTTTAGTTAACTCACAGAAACATCCAGCATATGATCCCATTAGGGAACAGAAAACAGTATTTAATTTTTGGAGAGTGTTATACCCCAAAAATAGCAAGGAGAAAGGCCAAATCCATGACTGTCCATCTGAAACAAGCTTTATTAAATACTGGCCAGGTCCATATCAGGGATTTGTAGAGAATGACTCTGAATTAGGTCAGTCAGGTAGGTGCCTGTAAAGGCCAAAAATAAAGTTCTTCCTACCTGTATCCATTGGGGGCAAGCTAACATCCTGGAGGACTTCTTACCCACCTAGCTCTTACCTATGTGTGATCAAGCACATTCTTTGTGGTTGGAGCAACCAATGTATTTACTGAACTGAAAATGTAGGTCTTGTTGTCCTACATGAACAATAGCCACCAGAATTCCAGGAAGTTATCTGTCCTTGGGAAGGTGGGGCTCAGGTTAACTAGCCTGTACATGAGGTATACAAACCCTTTCATATCGTCAATAGTCTGCACCTTATGAATTTTGGATATATGTAACAAATAATAGGGAAAATTGCTACTGCAGAGGGTTAAATTACATACAATGATTTTTTAAAGTGTAAATGAAGGAAAAATAAATAGGGAAAAGGAAATGAAAGGTTGCAGATAGTAATTCTGTGTGTGGCATTGTTACTGTCTAGGGATCTTGATTAAGTGGATTTTATTTGCCAGCTAAAGAATTAAAATTTAGAAAAATCTGGAGTATAACAGGTAACAACAGGCAAAATATCAGACAGAATAATTGGCGAGAGAAACTATTTTGTTAAGGGTGAGAAAGCAAGGTCCCCGATAGGAAGAAAGATCTTCTGTAGAGCAGAATGGGCACATAAAAAGCCCAAGCCCCATGTCACCTGGAGTGTGGTTGTTTTAAAGTCTTCTTCCCCAAATTTAAGACAAATCAGTTTGAACGAAGTCAAAGAGAGGGATGGGCGTATGGTTTTTAGGCAAACATCCTGCTGAGGCATGGAACCAGAAAACTGATGCACCCGCAGGGAGCCCTGGTGGAGGAAGGAAAAGGATGCCAAGCCTGATTTTGAATTGTTCTAGATGTGGAGGACGCCATCTTCATTACTTATCGGAGACTCCTGTCCCGGTCTACCTATCAGCAATCCAACTCTGAATCTGTCAGTATAATTAGACAATGTGGAGGCTACTATCATGGCATACTTGTACCAAACACACGGTGTTACAGATTGGCGGGTAACAGATCCCATACATCTACATTTTTGCGTATCCTATTTTGTGAGAAACACGCCAGAATCAGAGGAAGAAAAAGAGGAAGAAACAGTTAGACAAGGTTTTAAACAAAGGGAAAGATGAGTATTTCACACTGCTCCAAATCCACATATTCCATTTAAAGAAAAAAATAAAAGATTATTGGCTTTGTTTTATAGCAAAATTATCTGTTCTTCAAGAAAGGAAAATATTGTGAAGAGAAATGCCTAAAAGAAATCCCACACTAGCTCAGAGTTGAGTATAATAGAGGGTTATTTATTTAGGGGTAGACTCTCAGATTTCAATCCTCTGCTGGAACAGGGAAAGCCACCTAATCAAGCAGCTGGAAAAGAGGCCTGATGCGCTTTTTCAGCATATATGGTATAAGAGGCCACGCCCAAGTGGGCGGGTATGTTTAAGGCTACTGTCTGCAGGAATTCCTACAGCAAAAATGTGTCCAGAGAAGAAGAAAAAAAAAGAGGAAGAAAAAAACCCTATTTTAATGTGCTTTGCCTAACACCCCAGGATTTCTAGAACCTGGAATGTGACAAAAAAAAAAAACTACCCTTGAAGGTGCTTCAGTGAACAAGCGGATTCGGGGACCAGTCTGAAAACCAGCCTTTTCCTACTCGTCCCTTCATCTCAGCAACCCGAGTCAACATAAGCTTTGATGCCCTAATGTCTGTATTAAAGAAAAGAATACTAATTTTTAGATCTTTTGCAGTAGCTTCATTTACAATTTTAAAGACATAAGCAGAACTTCATAATGAAATCATTTTCAATTGATGTTAACACTATGAAAAAATGAGGTTTATGAATATTCTTGGGTACGTACTTATATAGAAATATAGTTATTTTCTGTTTTATGAAAATAATTTTGAAGAATTAAAAACTTATCATATTATAAAATTCAATAAACTTTCTTGGTGTTAAGGTGTTGTTTACTTTTGGTGGGATAATAAAATACCTAATACAAAGGCACTAAAATGTAAATCATTCAATACAAGATTAATAATATGTAAAAGTTTCAAAGATGTTATGGCAAGGATTATGAAAACTTTTAAAGATCTTTTAGAGTGGCAATTAGAGTTAGATTGACCACAGGGGAATACGAAGTTTACAAAACTATATATAGTCACGGAATATATGTCATTAAGAGGTGAAAGCAAAAAATCCAACTCCTGAAGCCACTGTGGACTGTGCCTGTATCAAACATCTGTTTACTTTGTTGGTTTTATTTTTATGTTCTACAGACTAGTCAAGAGTATGAAATGATCTCATATGATTTCTCAGTTAATTAACTTGGTAGTTCTATCTTTTGGTCTTATGAGTGATTCTTCAGATTAGCTTTCTAATAAAGAGAATTTCCATGAACAGGACCCTAACAGATTACAATGGGCTCAGCCTCAAGAAACAGCTTGTACAGCTAGCAGAGGGTCTTGGGTCTCGCAGTTGGTAAGCATTCCTAGCTGCAGGGAATGTTCTTTTGTAGAGTTCATTCTTCCTTCTCAAAAATCTCAAAAATACAAGTGAGAATAATTGCTTTAATGCTAGGAAATGGTTTTGAATTTTCAAGTACGTCCCACCCTAATGTACCCATAAACGAGTTTGTTTCCATATTTAAGAGTTTGTAGGGAATAGGTGAAATATGCTTATCATGTATTTGTCTCCATATGTTCATAGTATCCCAATTTATTCATTCACAGAAATAAACATTAGCTAAAATAGACTTTCCCTGTTTTGTTTGTTTTGATGCACCTTATCTCCATATAAAATAGACAGATGTTGATGACATATTTTCATTGCTTCTTTTTTCTCTCTATTCTGTCAGATCAGTATGCATTCTGTCGATATATGATTGACATGTTTGTCCATGGGGATTTAAAACCAGGTATTCGAAACAATTCTTATTTTTGTCTGTTTTAATAGGCTTTGTTTTTAAAATTGTCAGCTTTTCTGTACTAAGCTATGTTTTCATATACAAACCTGTGTAATGCATGTGCAGACATTGAATAAAGATGATAAAATGCAGGAATAATAATTGGTACTGGGGCCTTTAATTTTGCTTGTATCTGTTGCATGGCCTGTTGCACATGAAGTCATCTGAAAGCTTAAATACTAATATCTTCATATATAAAAGTACTAATATCTTTAATAATATCTTGAAATGAAGCAATGAGTTACTTGATTTGATTGCTGGTAAGTTTAGGTGAAATGATTTATAACAAGGAAGACATCAGAAAAAAATTTTTCTATTGATAGTGAACAAAATCATAATAAGATCCATCACTTCTCCAATACTAAGTCTTCTCTTTCCAAAACATTCAGAATTTCTTACATATGGTGTCTGGTGATTCCATAGAGTTAATCTTTGTTAATATTAATACAACAAAGAAAGGCTTTTATTTACAGTGAAAAACCTCTACTCTCTCATATCTTTCATTGTTATTCTAGCTTTGTTAAGGAATCTTAATTAAGATGGATGACTTTATTCCTTGTACTATATCTTTAAATATATATTTTCTGAGAGAGTGGATACTTGGAATGGGAGCTGACAGCAAACTATACTTTGTTATTTTAACTGTTTATATGGAAGTCTTTCTAAATGCTACTTATGTGTGCATGCATTGACAATCAAGGGTATCGTTCCTTAGAACGCATGTAATACGTTTAGTTCCTATGTATTTAAGAGCAAATGAGAATCTAATCTCTCTAGGATATTAAGCAATACCAGCAACAGATTTTGTCCGATAGTTTTTGCTTTTCCCTTCTCCTCTCCTAGTCTTTCTCTGTCCCCCATTCTTCTATTTTATTTCTCCATGTTTATACGACTTAGAAAGTGTGGTAAAGAAAGATGAGAAATTATAATTCCTTATTGATAAAGGTAGTCTCTGCCGGCATTTGTATGTGCTCACCTAGCAGAAGTTGGTAGACACATTGAGGAAGGTAGTGTGATCATTGGGGGAAAAAAGAGTTTTGAACAAAAATATACTTAATTTTTTTTCTAGCATGGGACTTTGAACTAGTTCATAAACAACTGTTCCTCAATGTTCCTGCATTTAAAATGGAATTTACAGTATTGACGATGTACTATTTGCAAAGCATCCAGTGGATGCACAGCAAAATGTTATGTTGCCTCAAATTTAATATTTTTAAATTATTTTTATCACAACCTCTGCATGAGCACTTCACAGAAAGGAATCACCTCAAGTCTTGATGTGCACAAACAACAAATAAAATTTTCCTACAATATCCGTGACCAACATCATTCAGCCATGGTGTTTGGAGAAAGTCTTACTCTAGCTGGATGATGACACAGCCCTGTTATCTAGGACTCCACGGGGTGAGTCAAGAGAAAAGAAAGTTCCTGTTTGGCCTAAACTTCGGAGAATACACTATTGAACAGTAAAACAAAACAAAACAAAACAAAAAAAAAACAAACAAACAAAAAAGAAACAACAAAAACAAAACAAACAAACAAAAAAAACAGAAAGAAAGGAAGAAAATCATACTCTATATATGCTTTGCTTTATAGAACCAACTATGCATAAGATGAACCATATTGTTGATACGCATGGATGGAAAAATGACTAAAAATGAATAATATATGTTGTTTTCTTGTTTGTTCCATTATTTCTAAATTTCAATGTTTGATTAAAAAAACAAGCCATTGTTTTGCTACTTCATCTATTTATATTATCTGCTAATTGTTCACAGGATGTTTCATAAGAAAGTCACATGAAAAAGTGAACCATGCAATGCCAAAAGCAGTAGAGAATGCTGGCATTTTAGCTGTCAAAATACTAATCAACTCTATGAAATCTGACAACAGCTGAAGGTCAGAAGGAATAATAAAGGAATCTCTGTGGGAGTAAAAGGTATTTTGTTAATGAATGCGCAGAAAGGGTCCTTCATAGCGCACAGGTGATGATACTCCAAAAATCATAGATTTAAATCTGCAGCAGTGTATACTAGTCTAACTCTGAGAATCATTCCTGAAATGTGGAAGTATAAATCCCTGCATTCTACATATTACCTTAATATTTGCTCTGGTTTGTTTCATCTACCTACACTTACTGTTTTGAAAGTCTAATATGTGAAAATATTTTAGATTAGTATTTCTTGGCCAGACACATTAAAATAGAAGAAGAAGGAGAAGGGAAGTAAAGGTTCACAAACTATTTGGTTTTTCAAAAGTGAAACAAAAAGGGATTACACTTTCCTATCCTTGTCACGGTTTTAGTGGCAAAAAAAAAAAAAAATAGTGAAAGAACACAGAATGTAATGAGCAATTTTAAATGTAAGGAATGAACAAAATGGTTTATGAGGTCAAAAGGATTTGGGAAAAAGCTGATGATATGATACTTATTCTGGGTTTCAGTCAGAGAATGAAATGATTCCTGCCAAGCATATTGCCCAGTATGCACCTAGTATTTATAAAACACTCCTGTTTCCATCAGCTTCTGTTTGGAATCCTGGAGCACCTGCTATTGTTTAGCTGGAGTTCATTATTAATTATTGGTAATGAGCTCTTAAAACTATCATTTGAATTTTCCCTCTGGAATTCAGCAATCCCTTGTAGATGGCTGTTTTACTCTCAAAAGTAACCCATTTTGTAGTGCAAATGAAAAAAGGACCCTTTCTGGTGGCAATGTAACATCATGTACCAAGTTTTGCCTTTATATCTCATCAAACAAAAATACTTCTGAGATGTCTTTAAAAGTTTAAACTGGCATTTCAACAATATGACAACACAAATTAAAAGTGCCTTTCTACTCCGCAGTGAGCAGTGGGTATACAGTTCTCTATGATAATGATAATCCATACCTCAGTTACAGAGACCAGAAGCAAATGAGCGAGTAAACTGGGAAGACAGCACCAGTTTGTTGTATGTGATTAATATTCCCGTATACTCATTCACTTTATCTTTAATTTGAGAAATAAGGAGGAAATGCTCTATAAATCTGTAAAGGGAATAATTAATTTCTTTCAATTTAAGAAATATTTTGAACACCGTAGATAGTCCTTTGGGAAAAGTAAACTATTATATTATCTCAGCCTTTACTAATCCAACAACCAAGAAATCAGTTAACTGTATATGTTTGCAGTGTTTCAGCCTGTATTTTTCAGTATTGTTTGTGTAGAGAGAGAGGGAGGGAGAGAAAGATATGGTCCTTTGCTCCTGTGCAGTCTTGAAATTGATGATCTAATTTCACCTAGGATTGAAATGATTCATTTGTCCATTGTCTTATGAGACAACTACAAAAACTAGACAATACAGACATTATTTGCAATCCCAAGATTCAATTTATTCTGGTTATTTCGTATTTTGTTGTATTTAGAAATCATCTGTACAGATGATCAAAATAAAACTTTCAGTTCATTTACACTGACCTTTTGTAATTCCGATTTTGTATTCAATGTCTTGTGGCTAAGGATATTTTTCCTTAAATAACATTTAAACCCCTAACTTTATTATTTTAGTAGTTTGAAAAGAAGCATCTAAATTCTTCTTGTCATACTCTCTCTTTGTGAACTTCACTTAGGTATAATGAACTTATCTGAATTTCTTGGCAGAGTCATCCAGGCTTAAGTAGAAAAATCTCAGGGCACACAGACATCTTGATATTCAGTGTAGAGGAATAAATCAAGGTCAGTATTTAGTATAGAGACCAGGACTGGCGTGCTTGGTGTTGGTAATTGTAGCACACTTCCCCTTTGTTCCTCACCTCTATAGCTGTTATGATTAAATTTTTACTGTAACTTAAAGTGCATCCCCCAGAAGTTGTCCTATGATTACAATTCTCACAATTATATGATGTACCAGGACTTTCTTTGGATCACCAGCTCCCAAATAATGACACTGAGACTTACTAATTATGAAAGCTCAGCCTTAGCTTAGGCTTGTCCCAACTAGCTCTTAATACTTAAGGCAACCTGTTTATATCAACCTACATTCTTCCATGTGGTTTGGTACCTCTCCTCTGTATTGTATAGATATTTCCTCTGCATCTCATTGAAATCCTCTGCCTCTCAAATCCCTATCCTACAGGAGTTCTCACTCCCTGGAAGTCCCACCTACTCTTTTTGCCTAGCTTTTGACAGTTCTGCTCTTTGTTCTTTATTAAACCAATGAGAAATAATCTTAGGCAGGTGAAGTAAAACAGACACATCTTCACAGTGTACAAAAGATTATTCCATGACAGTATGACCTTTACTGAGTCAATAACTTATGTCAAGGTATTTCATTTTGCTTTTTCGTCATTTATTTTCCTAAAATTGAGGGAAGATATTTACCTTACCAAATTTCTATCTGGATGGAAATAAGTTATTCTTGTATATCCTATATTCCAAGTTATGGACTTTAAAGTCATTCCTCTCATTTTATTATAATCCTTTTCTTGGACTTTAATGATTTTTTAATTTATTTTTTATTGAAAATAAAGTTTTCATACAAAATATTTTGATCATGGTTTCTCTTCCATCATCTCCTCCCAAATTCTCTCCACCTCCCACTCTTTCAATTCCACACCTTTCTCTTTCTTAAAAAATCAAACAAGCAAGAAAACAGAGACATAAAAATTAAACTAACAAAAAAGAAAATAAGAGGTTCAAGAAACACACACACACATGCACACACATATGCACACACATTCACATACATACACACACATGCACACCACCCCCAAAAGCATAAAAAAATATATATCAAGGTTTTAAAAAAGATACAAGTAATATAAGACAAAATTCTCCAAAAATATCTACAAGTTTATTTTTGTTGGCTGTGTATTGTTGGATAAGGGATCTACCCTTAAGTGTGGTGTGTATACCCAGTGAAAAATCCCTTTAAGAAACTGTTTTCCTTTGTAAGCAGTTATTAGTTAGAAATAC